GGGTTTTTGTCTTGATTGATTTTTTTGGCTGTCTTCCATTTGTTCACCCTCTCTCTTATTTTATAGGAAATGCTGGAGTGGGGTTTTTAATCTTTGAATAATGGGCAGCAAATCCTTCAAAAAAAGATCTTTCTTTTTTAAATGCCAAAATAGGGGGAAGCTATCTATTCTAGCAGAGAAGAACCATCAATGATCAATTCCCATGGTGGTCTTTTCTTTGCTTTTTATGAAAGAAAGACCGACTCTTTTTGTTTCTGTTTGTTCCTTGTAAAGAGAAAGAACACAATCTGCCATGATGGTCAATTTGCTTTTCCTGTCTGAACAATTCCCTTGCTTCCTACTTATCTCTTGATATCGTAGTCTGCTTATCTCTTAGAAAGGTCACCTGCTTTGGTGTAGAGTTTTTCTGTATATATATAAAAAAGGATTTTGATCTTTTGGCTGCAAAGATTTAGAGAAGTCTTCCTTTTATACCTGCCTTCATTAACTCTCTATCAACTCCTCTGTGATAGTTGAAATTTTTGACTTTTTAAAGTTAGGTAGTCACGTGGGGCTCTTCTGGGAAAACATTATTTTTAATAAGAAAAGATCTGCTGAATTGCTTTTGAGATCAAGTGGTGAGAATTCTTTAGAAGCTGAGCTTTAATCCGATCTCTTAGAGGTTTTTGATCTGCTTGGTGGTGAATTACCATTTAATTGGTAATTTATTGATTTATTTACTTATTATTTTTGTGTTTTTTAAACTTCTGGCACTTTTGCAAAAGACATGGGCCTCTAATGTTGATTGGGCTGCTTTCCTTTTCTTTCAAAGCTCAAGACTGTTCATTATCATGAGCTTGATAAATTATGGGCTGGGCTTACAGAATTCGAGAATTTAGTCTGAGCTTTTTCTATTTTTGGCTGCTCTTCAGTTTCTTTTAAACATCAAGCCCAAGTTGTGCTCATGTTTGTGGGCTGCATAAATAGGCCCAAACAATGCCTCCTAAGTCTGAATCGTTGTGGAACGGTTTCAGACTTAATGATTTGCCATTAATTGTGCATGCCATTTCCTTCCGTTGCAACTAGCCCACGTCTGCCTATTCAACTAGGCTTCGTGGGTAAGTGGTCAGTTTCTAACGACTAATTTGAATCTGATTTAAAACTTGTTCCACTTTCCCACGATGTTCTTCCTTAGTTTATAAAAAATTTTGAACTCTATTACTATTCACTTGCAACCTAATTCCGTCTCAGCTTTAATTTCTTCTGGAAACCCTTTGTTCTTTGGCTTGTTCTTCGATTCTTCCCAATTTCTTGCTTGAATTCAAAGATTTCTTCCCCAAAAACACGTGCCAAAGGTTCTTCCTCCTCTCGGTCTCTTGCTTATCTTACTGGCGATGGTGTTAATCAGCATGCAATCGAAGTTCACAGCAAGCTCCACCCTTTTACCCAGAAGAATTTGGACGAAAACGTTCTTCGCCTTTGTGAGAACACACTCGTTCTAGGTCCTCACTGGTTTGGCGCGGTGGTCAATCTGTTCAAGGAGGATGCTGAGGCTCCCCTTTGCCTCCAAAGTTCTTTTGCCCTGGCTTCTCACACCTGGGTCAGTAAGAACTTGAGTCGTTGATATCCCTCTAGTGAAGTGAGGAATAGTGCAGTGAAGTGGTCGGATTGGATTGATAGACTCCTTCCGAGGTATAGAGATCATTGGAAAAGGGCTGGAATCTATGAGTCCACTATTCTGTCCAAGCAATCTGTGAATAGGGATGAGAACTTGCTGGCTACAGCTCTCTGCTTCTGGAATTCTGCCAATAATACATTTGATTTTCATGTGGGCCCTGTGACTCCAACTCTGCTGGATATGGCTTAGATCTTTGGGTTTAGGTCTCATGGATGGCCTGTTGATGCAGTTTGTGACTACCACAGAAGGAAGAATAAGGAAAGATTGGCCAAGTCCTTCACTATCTCTCCTACCACAATCAACCAAAACTGTTCCTTCTCCAACTATCTGAAGAAATTTAGCACAGAAAGGGATAGAGATCAACAGCACATGCTGTTTCTTCTGTACTAGCTGAACAGGTTTGTCTTCCCAAACCATTCTTCAGTAGTTATGCTCGAATACAAGCACCTGGCAGAGGCTCTGCACAACCATACTGACGTGGGGCTTGGTCTAACAGTCCTGGCCCATTTGTACAAGAATCTTCACAGCGCTACCTTGGAGAATCCATTGAATATTTCTGCTCTTAGCGCATTCTGGATGATCCAGATCTAGCTGCAGGTCTATTTCCCAGAATTGAGGTTTCCAGACATCGTTCTGCCTGAAGACTAGGTCATGGCGCTCCCCTTGATGTCTGCAAAAGTGCCCAAGAGCTCCATTGAAGAGTACATGACGTTTTTTAGGCATTGTACTAAGAGGTCTGCTACTCAGTGGCAGGTGGTACTTAGAAGAACGTATCCTCGATTCCAGACTGGATACAGATTGTTTGAGAAGGAACTTGAGGATGAAGAGGCAAAAACTGACTTCAGGAAGAAGTTCCTGAGTGTAATGCTGCTTTGGGACCTGGCTTTTGGAGGTGGTAAGCCTCCTAACTATCATCTAAGGGGAGAGGTCTATCACCCCAACTTCTATGTCAGGCAGCTTGGATGTCCCTAACTTATTTCGTTGCAATCGAAGCACCTCTTGGAGAGATACAGATGATCTGGACCTGCACAAGGATTGTAGATGTGCAGTGAATAAGATAAACAATAGTGCGAATGCTGTCTATCCATCCTGGAAGCCCAATTCCTGCAGTTCTGCGGTGTTTGATGCTTGGTGGAAGGCTAGGTTCATTGGTCTGCCCGATTCCAGTTCTGCCACGAAGGTGCTTTTTGATGGTTGGGATTCCTAGACTTTCCATGCACGGGCAGAGGCTAAGAAATTTATGGTGCAGACGATCAAAGATATCAATGCCCAAGTAATTGAAGGTAAACTTTCAATTCTGCCCCTTTTATTCCATTATATCAATGATTATTGCATTCTGTTTTGGTGCTGATGTTTTAATATGTTCTGTCTGTTTGTATCAGATCCTTCTATGACAAGGAACCTTGGGGACAAGCTGTTTAGGTTGGAGAAGTGTTTGGTAAGCTTCTGAATTCTGTCCTTCTGCCTTTTTCCTGCTGGATTGTCTTTTAATTATTTATTCTTCTGTGTAGTTACTTATATCATCGCTATTGGAGACTTGGAGCTCCCCTTTGGGGACGAAGAAGATCAGCATGGAACTCTGGCAGAACAATCAACTGTTAAGGTGACTCCTTTTGCCAGAAGGAACAAGAGAAAGGAGACTGCCTAGGCTCAGGACAATGTTGTCTAGCCTGAAACGTCAGGTAATGAGACTTTCCTTGGCTCTGTTCTATTCAGTCCATTTGTTCTAATCTTTTATCTTTTGTTCTTTGTAGCCGAAAGTCCCCTCCTCCTCCTACTAGGTCAAAAAGACTTAGGAAAAGAGCAGTGGCGGAATATGAGGTGATAGAAGAACCTGTAGCAGTTCCTACTGAAACCTCTGGAACTGTTGAAGAGCTAAGGGAAGCTTTTGAAGCTGTAGAGTAGGATAAAAAAGTAGTGAGACACGAAAAAAGGCAAAGACGTCGAAGAAGAGGTAAGATCCTGTCTTTAATTCCTTAACATGATCCATTTTGTATATGTTTTTCTTCTAATCTTGACTTCTGTCTTTTTGTAGGAGGAGATCCCTGCTGAAATAATAGCAGAGAACATTGCGTTGGCTAAGCAATAACAGGAAGCTCAAGGGACAGAACTCACTATTTTAGAACTGGCTCTATTTGATGATGTGGAGGCAGAACATTCTGCTACTACTCCAGAGCCTGAAGTGGAGGTAGAACATTGTTGCTATCCCTATTCCTGAGGTAACTTATGTCCTCTCTTTACTCTATTTGGTTTTTGCAATTCTACCTGTTTTATCCTTCTAATTGATGTTCCTGTTTTACTAGGTAGAGTAGGACAGAATTGCTGGGACTTTGGCTGTAGTGACCAGCACTCTCAAGCCTCCCATTGTGGCTGTAAGTATCATTGTGCCTTTAGCCCTTCTCTTATTCTAATTCAACATGGAACTAACTAAAATTATTTCTTTGCAAATGCCTATACATTCTGTCCCTGGCTCCTCAACCACGACCTCCTTTGCTGATCCAGAATTGGAAGAGTTTGAAGCTATAGATCTGGATGCTCAGCTGGACAAGCTAGAGAAACTCAGTTCCACTCCTGGCAAAGCTAAGTCCAAAGCAGTAGATGAGGTAGTGGACATAGTGAAAATCTAGCAGTCAACCAAGCTAGACTTGGATGAGAGCAGCGAAGCTATTGACCAGTTGATGAAGGACCTAGACCTGCTACATAGGGAGAACATGGCTCCCCAGGCCTATCCTTAAGATCAGTTTGGGTTTGGCAAAAGATGTGCTTAACCTCTATAACCGATATGAAGATCTCAAGCCCTCCTTCAATGCCTCTGAATTTTGCAAGGCTACTTGTGAGGCCAACTTGGCTTATTATAAAAAACAGAAGGCAAAATTGGACGTTCTGGTTGCTGACTACAAGGAGACCAAGTCCACTGCTGACAAGTTAGAAAAACATATCGAGGAACTCCAGAAGCAGCTGGCTGGGCTAAGGGAGAGGTAGAAGAAGCTTAGGGCTAGACTGGGCACCAAGACCAAGGCAACTTTCCTTGTGCAGAACATGGTATCAGCTTCTAGGCTAGCATTGGAGATTGCAGAAGCTTCTATTCATCAGGGAGTGCTCCCCCATAAGGAGATTTCCACCAAAATGACTGGATTGCAAGAAACACTTAGAAAATTAGGCCTTTGAATTTCTTCCAAAATGTAATAAAAACTTGGTCATAACGATTGACTATATTTAAATAAAAATCCTGATTACTTTGTGGGACTTTGCATTTTCATGTTCTTCTAACTTAGATGAAACAAAAAGGCAAAAATGAAATACACACTAAAAGTAAAACTCTTGTACAAATTTGAATGGAAAATCAAACAATAGTTCCATCCTTTTCCCCCTCAATTCCAGGATATGTTTGTACTGCTTGTGAATCCCACATAGTTGGATAGAACTTTTTCAACCATTTGCCATTGATTCGCACATCATGGATGTCTCCATCTTGATCCTGTAATCTGTATGCCCCAAATCCAAGGACTTGCTTGACTATGAAAGGTCCTTCCCATGTAACATGTGTTCCAAGGGGCAGAACTGCTTTCCAGACGATTTCTCCTTCTTCAAAACTCTTGTTTCTAACCCTCTTGTTATAGGCTCTTGCCACAGCCTGCTTCCCTGCTAAGAGTTTGTTGAGGGTATCAATTCTGCTAGTATCCAGCCCTTCTAATTCTAGCAGCATTGCCTGTGAATAGTCTTCCCCAACCAAATTATGTTGTTAGGCAATTTTGATGCACTGAACTGCGATTTCCATGGGTAGAATTGCATCATGTCCATAAGTTAGGGCATATGGAGTCATGTTAGTTGCTTCTCTTTTTGAAGTTCTATAGGCCCACAAGGTTTTTGACAGTTTTTCATGCCATTGCCTTGGATTTTCCTCAAACATTTTCCTGATAATGTTGATAATCACCTTGTTGCTTGATTCTGCCTGTCCATTAGCCTGGGCATAATAAGGAGTGGATTGAAGTAGTTTGAACTTGAATGCTTCTGCCATATCTAGAATTTCTCTGGATATGAAGGAAGTTTCCCTATCAGTGGTGATTGATTTTGGTATGCGAAACCTTTGCACAATCTATTCTTCTATGAAGGTAATGATCTCTTAAGATGTGGTGGATTTGACTGGCCTGGTTTCCACCCATTTGGTGAAATAATCGGTAGCTACTATGATAAAACAGTGTTGTTTGCCACTGGCTGGATAGATTTTGCCAATAAGATCCATTGCCCATCCTTTGAATGGCCATGGCTTGACGACTGGGTTCACAGGAACTGAGGGAGCCTGCTGGATTGGACCATGTCTTTGACAAGCTTCACATCCCTTGGAATATTCTCTACAGTCTTTCATCACGGTAGGCCAGAAATAACCATACCTTCTAATCAACAACAATATTTTTCTTACACCTTGATGTGCTCCACAGATTCCTTCATGGACTTCTCCCATGACCTTCATGTATTCTTCTTTTCCTAAGCATCTTAAAAGTAGCTCATCTTTGCTTTTTCGAACCAAATCTCCATTCCACATGAGGTTGTTTAAGGCCATGATTCTAATCCTTTTTTCAGAAGGAAAGGTTGGATACTGTAGATAATTGATTATAGGCAATCTCCAATCCTCTTTAATCATTATGGCAGTATTGACATCTATTTCCATTCATCTGGTCAGAACAGATGGTATGCATTTCTTTCCTGCCTTGATGATTCTCTGTACACAGTCTTTAGGTTTCTGTACTCCTGTTGCTATCTGGGCCATCTCATTAGCTGCAAAGTTTTCTTCTCTTGGGATATGTTCCCAAGTGGTTTCCCTGAACTCTGCCAAGAGATTTCTGGCTGGTACTAGATAAACAGCTAAAGAGGGGCTCAAACATTTGTATTCTCCAGCAATCTGTTTTAGTACAAGCATGGAATCTCCTACAATTTTGACAGATTGGATTCCTAATTCTACCAGCATTTCTAGTCCTATGATTAAAGCTTCGTATTCTGCTTTGTTATTGATGCACTGGAAATCTAGCTAGAATGAATAACAATGTTTGATTCCTAGTGGATCTTCAAAAACAATCCCTGCCCCAGAGGCTAAGTCTGTTTTAGATCCATCAAAGTATAACTTCCAGGGGGTGAGATGGACTGAGTAAATGGGATTATTGAGATAGGTGTGAGCTCTGGTTAGCAGGTCTGCATTGGCTATATCCATGGAATCCATATTCTCAATTTCTTCCCCTAGGTGATCAGCCAAGAAATCTACAACAGCTTGTCCCTTGATGGACTTCTGAGGAACGTATCTGAAAGCAAATTCTGATAGGGCCAAAGTCCATTTACCAATCCTCCCTCTCAACATTGGTCTTGTTAGCATGTACTTGACCAGATCTGTTTTGGCGATGATGTAAATAGTAAAGGGTAGCATGTAATGCCTGAGCTTCACAACAATAATGTATAAAGCTAAACAAAGCCTTTCAATCGCAGAGTATTTCCTCTCTACCTCTGTCAGAGTCCTGCTTAGGTAGTAGGCTGCTTGTTCCTTCTCTTCCTTATTATCTTGAACTAATAGACTCCCAATGGATACTTCTGATGCAGAAACATATAATTTGAGTGGCCTGCCTCTCTTTGGTGGGGACAGAACTGGCGGATTTGAGAGGTAGTGCTTGATTTCCTCAAAAGCTTGCTAGTGTTGTTCCTCCCATTTGAATGCCTGCTCTTGCTTTAATTTTAACAGGGAGGAGAAGAGTTGAATTTTCCCTGCAAAATTGGATATGAATCTTCTGAGAAAGTTAATCTTCCCTAAGAGGCTTTGTAATTCTTTCTTGTTCCAAGGTGGCAAAGCTTCCATGATAGACTTTGCTTTGTTATTGTCAATTTCTATTCCTCTTTGACGGACCAGGAAACCTAAGAAATTGCCAGCTTGAACTCCATAAACGCATTTCTTAGGATTCATTTTCAACTTGTGCTTACTCATTCTTAGAAATTCTTTCTTTAGATTGGATACATGATCTCCTTTTTCTAGAAACTTGATCACCACATCATCTATATAGACCTCTAGAGAATGACCTATCATGTCATGGAAAACAGAATTCATTGCCCTTTGATAAGTGGCTCCTGCATTTCTCAAACAAAAAGGCATTACAGTGTATTCAAAAGCACCTATATGCCCTAGACACATGAAGGCTATTTTGTGGATGTCTTCTTCTGCCACCATTATCTGATTGTATCCTGCATTGCCATCCATGAATGATAGCATTTGATTGTGAGCAGCTTCGTCCACCAACATGTCCGCCATAGGCATTCGATACTCATCTTTAGGAGATGCTTCGTTCAAATTTCTGTAGTCTACACATATTTTGACTGCCCCTGTCTTCCTTTTAAGGATTGGTACAATATTGGACAATCAACCAGCATAAATGGAAGGCCTTATTAAACCTGCTTTAACCAACCTTTCCACTTCTTCTTTCCCCAAGTAGGTCTGGGGTCCTCTTCTGTCCCCAAGTTTATTTCTTGTAAAGGATCCTCTACATCTGGCAGAGAGTCATCCAGTGATACTGGTGCAAATTCCAATTCCTCATCTTGCATATTTCCTTCATGTTCTTCCATGTTCTCATGCTTAAATTCTGCCATTTTAATTGCTGGATTATGCATGGAAAGTTTCCTTTCTTCCCAATATACCAACAATCTATTTGTAGTGGATCAGATTGTTGCAACTCGATCCTTTTCTTGCTGGTTTGAACTATACATCAGAATTTTGGAGGTTTAGGAGGAAATGCCTATTCCAATCCTCTAGAGAACCAGCCAAGCCTTCTTCAATGAGTTTCTAGGCTGTGATACCATGGGGACGGCTGTTCTGGTTGACTCCAAAGAAAGTAAATGGACCAAGGTCATCATGATAGTACATGGCCTTAAAGCACAATGCAAATGGTAGGAATGGCCGTGGGTCGGCCTCCACTATTTCCATATAACCCTCCTCATGCCAGAGGGCCAACTGTTGGTGTAGAGTGGAAGGAACACATAGACTTTGGTGGATCCAATCTTTGCCAAGCAATGCATTGTAAGTGGTAGAAGTGGTGTCTACCACGAAAAAGGCAATCTTCAGCTTCTTGGTTCCCATTATGACATCTACATATAGTATTCCATGAGTCTTAGTGATGCCCCCAGCAAAGTTGGTGACTGTTAGGCATGTTGGAATTAGATCCTTCTCTGTTCTGCCCATTTTTACCAGCAATCTGTGAGGTAGAAGGTTAATGGCTGCACCTCCATCTACCATTACTTTGGGGTTAAGAATACCCCCGAAGTTGGCTGTTATGAACAGGGGTCTGAGATGATTGGCCTTTTCCTTGGTAGGTTTGGAAAAGCACAGATGTTATGTGACCATTTTCATGGTAGTTCTACCTATTTTGTCAGCAGATATTTGTTGTTCTGGTGCCCTCTCCACTTCTGCCAACCTGCACTCGAAAGTCTCTTGTGATAGTACATCCCTTTCCAAAGTGCTCTCTTGTCCTTTGGCTGCTCTGAACTTCTCTGGCAGGATAAACACCATATTAATGCCTAGATCACAGGCTTTCTAATTATGCACCGAAAGCCTCAGTTTCTTCATCTAATTCTCCGTTGTACTCCATCTGTTCTTCTTCATATTCTTCTATCTAGTCTTCTTACTCACCTGTTTCAAGGAGTCTAGTCTAATCGTCTGCAGATGGTTCGTAATCCAACTGTTCTTCTTCATATTCTTCAATCCAATCTTCTTGACCTTCTGCTGGAATAGGTCCAGATTGAGCTTGTGATTGTGAAGGTTCCAACTGATTGATTGAGGGTGAGGCAGGATGGATAGAAGGTTTGCCTGGAGATTCTGTCTTTGTCAGCTCTTTTGGTTGATATGTTGTATGTTCTGCCTGATAATCTGCTTCTAGATTTTTCCCATTTTTGGTAGAACTGACCTCTGAAAGTACCTGTGTGTTATTCTTATTCTTGAGGAAGGTGCAGTATTGCCTCTAGACCCTCCTTTTCTGTGTTCTGGTTAGCTTCAAAGTTGGTATGCCGTTCTTTCCAACAGAATACCATTTGCCTTCTATGATAGTTGCCAAGGGCCTTATCATTTCTGGGTATTTTAACTGGTATCTCATTCTTTAGCTGCTCTGTCATTTTTCTGTTGCATTGGGTAGGTCTTTGATAAGCCCTTTGCCTGGCTATGTCTCTAGGTGGAGCCAGAACTGGACCATGTTGGTATGATGTTCCAATCCTGTCAAAAACACTAGCTGTGGGCTGACTGTGCCCATCCAGAGTTACTGCCAACTCAATTTCGCATTTGCACTTACTACATAGAACTACCCCAGCTAAAATGGTTGCTTTTGGTCTCTGATTAGCCTCTCTTGTGACTTTTCTGCCTATGTTAAGGCTAGCTTTCGCTCTTCAAATCGAGGGTTCATGGGCCCAATTCTGAGGTCGGAGCCCAGATCTGCGATTTGCCCGATTTGCCGTTGCACGCGCGTCGCTCTAGCTCATCTTCAGTTGCTTCCGCCATCTGCCCTACGTCACCCTGCAGAGCTCGTCTCCAACTAACTAGGCGCCGGAAAGGAACGAAAACACCGACGCACTGCCGAAACTATTGTATTAGGGTTGTTCTTAACTTCCTTTCGGTTTAATAGGCCTCACAACTGATCGGAACCAGTGGCCCGGCACACCTGTGCGTGGCACCAGGTAGGGGTGGCGACGACAAGGCCTGACAGCCCATTCCATTCCATGCAACGGCATGCCATTTCATGCGGGGGGCGTTGGATAGCCAACCCATGGTCATATGGCATGGCTCAAACATAGCTTATATACACTTAGGCGTTATAAGCTAACAGATGCGATCATACCAACTCACATGCATTGGATTCCATCAGAACTCCAAAGTTAAGCGAGTTTGGGCGAGAGTAGTACTAGGATGGGTGTCCTTCTGGGAAGTCCTCGTGTTGCATCCATTCTTTTTGCTCTTTTGACCTTTCGGTTGTCATGGGCGTTTGTTTTCCGTTGTCTTATTCA